CCAAATTGGCCTATGCCGGCCAAATCACGATTTGAGGGTTGGTGGAAATGAGGGGCCCTAGCTCTGAAATGGTCTTGGAACTTGTATTTTTGGAAAATTTGGGATGAATTTGGACACAAAGTAACTCTAATTTGCAATAGAGTGGCGAGATATATATGTATTTTTTTTAGTGAAAAGTCAGCCCAAATTAAGTCACTGTTCATCCCAAAAGGAAAGATAGCGAGAGAGGGTATACAAGCTTTAATTTGATTTACATGTATGTGTCTCGATCAGCAGTTGGAGCATTGAGCATTTCCTCGATCTATTTTGAGGTGGAGGCATTTCTCATTGGTGCCTATATTTACTGGTCTGCACCTATACAAACACGCGTACATGGTATGGAATCTGGACTTCGGTTGCGCGGCCATCCCGAAAGCCTTAAAAAAGTGATACTTTTAGGGGATGTGGATTAAATAATTTCTTTGAACTTGTTTAAGCACGAGAACACCAGGCTCGTAGGAAGCTCAAAATCATTGGCCAGGCTCATCGGAGTATTTGGCCATATCTTTCCCAAATGAAACGGTACTTCAGCCACTATCTCAGGGGCAACCTAGTCCGAAACTGTTGGACTCGATACTGTGTATGAGAGTCCCAAAGCTAAGGTACTGACAACATGCAATACAAGAAAATAGACTGGCATCTGAAACAACCAGTCCAATAACTCTTCAGTACTACATCAATCAACTGTGCCAAACAAATATATAGCATGTGAGGTACTAGTCTCTATTTCTACACATTTCACCATAGTCAGCCACATGACAATGAATGAAGAACATGGATAAGTCTAGTCTTTAGCCTCATTTTGAAATCCCTTGACTTCTCTCTCAAGTGCAAAATATTGAAGAAAAATCACCTTTTAAATTGAGTTCAGTTTTCAAACTTGGTTGGGGAAATGCTGAGGACCTTGTCTTTGCCCAATGAAAATTTTGGAGAATTTTGCATGATTTTGTTTTGCATGTTTTTGAGCAATCCAATTCCCAGTCTGGGTGCACCCCCTGAACATTACACTTACTTGTACAAAAGACTTGCTCAGGTACATAGGGAGATTGATTCTTCGTACATACAGCTTTGTACTTTATGCTCAGATAAACAAATTACCGAAGACAAATACTTGACGTAATACAGTCAGCACCACACGAAGCACCTTGTGAAAAAAACACATACTAGGCAAGGCAAGATCGAGGAAGACACCTTTTTGAAAAAGTAGGGGCGAGGGTTCACAATTCAATATTAACACTAAAGGTTCGCGTTTGTTGTTACAAACGCAGAGTGGTCGGGCAGACAACTATTTCATTAGACATTGTCCAGGTTATCAATATGTTTATGTCAGAAAAAAAAGGATCAAGAACTTCAACATTTGCAGTACCAATTATTTTGTACAAAACGAAAGCGTAAGTCACAGTGAATCTCCTTTGTTTCCCTTTAAAGTGACAACCCTCAAAATGACAGTAAAACAGTTATTAAAAAAAATCATCCCAAATGGCAATTAAGCGATTAAGTTGAAAGGACACAAAGGTTTATTTTAAGGTTTTATCACTTTGAATGATCCATAAACATTATCTCATTCAAAATGTGAACAAAATACTCACACATTCGTCTTTGCAGCTCGCCTTCCAGCTCGACGTCTAGAAGGCGGAGAATCAACTCTTCGACCGATTCATCGTTGCCTCGTTCCACTTTATCCTAATTATATTAACAGAAAAAAAATAAAGTAATAGACATTACCTCTTTGGTAACTGCTGGTATCGCACACATACTGCACACTTCATTTTGAAACCTGTTGGCGTGTCAAGTCAATCGGCGTAGCGTAGGCCAATCTTTTTTTGGGATAATTTTTATCTTTTTGGTAACACAGTAGATCTTGAAAAGGTTCATCCCATCAGGATTAGGACTATAGTCTGAGTGTCAGGCATTCACGAGTACAGAGCCAAACAACGAACGTCTCATAAATCCTTTTCAAATTCTATTCGACCCCGCCCGCCAGCCAATCGGAATCAACTTTAGAAAGTGTGACGCCATATCGATCAGAAATATGGACTAAGCTGTTGATTGGTCAATTGCCTGCATTTTTTTTGTAATAGAACGACGGGTTACCGAAGACTCGATATAAGTCCCCCGCTGAATGGTAAGAATCTCGAGGTCAAGATGCAGTCTTGTTTTGCATAATTAACTGCCGAATCTGCTCGCATATCATAGACATATGCAAGGGGATATTCCTTGGACTAGATTGGAACTGAGGTTGAGGTGTGTCCCCAAAACGAACATCGCCTTGCTTGAGGAATTGGGTAGACAAAATATTATCACAGATGGAGGTGGTCCAAATACATGTTGCTAAACATAACATACAAACATCACATAAAAATCAAAAAGCAAACAATTGATTAGGGAGCAGACCTGAGTACACGAGACATCTTAGTACATGTAGCAGTAAAAAGTAGAAAGTGGAACTAGGCGGGACACATCTACCGACACACGACAAGTGGAGTACAAAATCAACACACTGGACACCACATGAGGGTCAAAAAGGGAATAGGTGACGCTAGCTAAATTAAGAGATGGAGAAATGAGCTACAACATTACTGGGGCAATGTAAATTTTCTATCTAGATAGATATAGAGACATTTGGCGACATCATTCTGAGGCCTTCCTCCGGCAGTGGACTGACAACGGTTGAAAGACGGTGGGCCTATAGCCCAAACCCTGGATCTTTATATAGGGTTGAATCGTTTGCCATGGCGAAAATGGAATTCCAACAAAAATGGTTTTGCCATCAAAATCACTCCTTCATCAATAAATGATCAGCCAACATCCCTTGGTGTTACAGAGTTACAATTTGAAGAATGCAGTCCACACACGATTTTTCGTCCCGAAAATCTTTTCTTGATTTTTTGTCAGGAAAGTTGTATATTTATATTTTATAACTTGGGTGACCGTGCCTACCTCGAAAGACCGGACGAACCGCTCTACTCCTCATCAGAATTTTGATTTAGTAAGAAAACCAAGAAGAATATTTGTAACCTTGTTCCCCCTTGTGCACCCCCATGTAATCAAACTGTAGTTGCACCATTGATGAGAATAAAAGAGGATCTTCGTTAAGTTTAATACCCCCCCCCAAAAAAATCTATATTCTTGCTTTGTTTTATTTATATAGTCTTGCATTAAAGTGAAGCGATGTTGGTGCCTTGCTGTTATCTCTGGAAGACATCAAAAGGCGGGGATGCCAGCTTTCAAAAACTTCAAAAGTCAACATGGAGTGTGCCACGTTCGAAGAACCTTGACATGCAGGTACTTGCAGGTACTTTGTTATTCTTGAAATCAATAAAGATAGCATTTTGAAAACAATATATCCTCTTCGATCTGTTAAGACCCTTTTGCAAATACATCATGTGTGTACGTGTGATGTCCATGCAGTAGTAGTAAGAAGTCCTCTCTTCTGCTTGCCGAGTATTTGCACACACACCACAATTATGCAGATGCATTTCTAAGATTTTGGTTACCACTGAAATAAACCACCCTTGATCAGAAACAAATAAAATACATACAGCCAGAAGTAGGGGAGACCATTTACAAGTGATGTGTTACACACTGGCTGCCACAACATTGTTCTAATTGTTGTTCCAATGTATGTACAATTTAGAGACAGGAGAATCACAGGATGAGGTTGTGAAGTGTGAATATGACCCGAGGCATCCTTCTGACCGGTCACCATTACACACAGATGCCATGAGGATGGCAGTGCAAGAGCTGATGGATGTGTTTCCTGGTTCAGGTTTAGGTCATGCTTGGGGACTGTCCTCTAAACCCCCTTGTGCTGCCATGGAAGTTGAAGTAACAACCACCATTAAATACGGTACGTAAAAATGTTGTTTCTTATGGAATACATTCTGCTACGACAGTAAAAGTTGGGGAATCTTTTGGAAATTTGATCATTACGGAACTTTACCTGAGGTTTACAATACAAACTCTTAATTTTGAAGAACAGAATTTAGGAAGGATATAATGATATCAATGAGTGAATTAACTCTGTTTGTATTCCTACAGGCAATTTGAGTCTTCTCAAATCATTACATGCTGATTTGGGTAGTGATGAGGTCAAGGGCAAGGCAGAGGAACTGTTTCCCAACATCATCCTTAGCCAAGAGGAAGCAGACTACATCGAAATGAAAACAAGAGGGCAAGCGCATAACTCTTCATGGAACATGTTCTGGGCCGGTCGCATCACGGCATCCAACATGAAAAGAGCAATTAACACTAAATTATTTAGTCCATCTATAAGCACGATAAGATCAATGTGCTACCCCATGGACCAGCCTTTTATTCAAATACCAAGTATTAAGTGGGGAAACACACATGAAGCAGCAGCAAGATCGAAGTATCTTTGGCAACAGAAGCATTGTCATGACGGCTTAAGAATGACCACTTGTGGCCTGATAGTGCACCCTGACTTTCTCTACCTTGGGGCTTCCCCTGATGGTAAGGTTTTTGTGAGTGCTGTGGGGAGGGTGTGTTAGAAATCAAATGCCCCTATGCAATAAGAGAAAAGAGTGTCAGTAGTGAAGTTCCATATTTGAGAGATGAAGGTCAAGGACAAGTGCTGGACAGGAGTCATCCCTATCATTATCAAATTCAAACTCAAATGTTCTTGTCCAAATGTAACTATTGTGATTTTGTTGTTTACTTTGAAAGACTTGTTTGTTGAAAAAAATCAAAAGAGACCACGAGTTTTGTAAGGTTATGGTGGAAAAGGCAGCATGTGCACACACATAATTCTGCCTGAACTCCCGGGCCAAGTATTCACAAGATCTAGCAATTGTGAAGAGTAAATTACATGTATGTGTAAGAACAGGGCCAACATTACATGTTGCAGTCTCATTACAGGTTCATTTAGAATGTTTTGATGATATTCCTGCGGTATTAAACTAAGTGCACACGGTTATTAGAAAGAGATGAGAACTTGGAGCTGTTGTAGGAATTTCAGAGTTTATTCAACCACATCAGATACATATTAAATTTTCAAACTACACATATTGTGATTTTGTTGATTTTACAGAACATGATTTATTTTTTTCAAAGAATTAACAGAGGTGATGGATTAATGAAATATTTATTGCCAGACCAGCTTTTATGCTACATGAACTGCTAGGCCAGATCTGTACATCATATAATATTTTGATATATTTATGTATTTAAGGTTCATTAAGTCATATTTTTTTTATCAGAAGCAATTTATAAAAGGCCATAGACATGTACCCTAAAACAGTGAACATCTCAGTGTAGTTTATCGTATTATGCAAATTCGATGGCAAGAAATACATGTTCATGTCTGTATGAATGCACAGAAACTGTAGGACCTGTATATTTGTTTACTTTACCATTTTCATAAATTATCATTTATTCATTAAAAACAAATGTGAGACATCACCACATTTCCATTAGAAAGATCCAGGTGGCGACTATACGTGACATACATGTATCATGAGACACAGACATGTTAAAACGGTCTGAGAGGTCTGTGAAAAGCAATTCAACCTTCAGTCTCATTAAAGTGGCCATAGGTTGATTTTGAAGATGGAATGCCATGAGTCTTCTAACTCCATCGGTTTCTTTATACCCATTATATACCATTATACCCAGACCCATTATATCTCATCCTTTGAGTGAATGGTAACAACAGCTTAAACAGCCATACAAATGTGACCCAGTTTGGTAGGCCAGTGTAAAATTTAGTGTTTCTGTCATTTTCTTTTATGTTACCTGTAGACCAGGTGTGTTGCTTTTCTTGTGTCTTAATTCAGTACATTCACTTCATCTGACAGCCTTTTAAAAACCTCATCTTTTAGCTCTTCCTTTTCCTTGTCATCTACTTGAGTTCCTGTTAAAGTGTAAAAAATAAATGTAAAAGTTTTAAATACTAGTGGGAATTGAAAACTGCTGTATTGAAGAAAAAGAGATTGTGTGGCAAGATTGTATAAGGAAAACACTGCTTCTTCTGATTGAACAAAGACAAATGGGGGGGGGGGGCAGCTTGATCTGACTAAGTTTTTCTGTTTTCATAGAAATATATTAAAAATAATCTGAAACACCCCCTCCCCCTACTGTGACACCCAAAAAAATTATGACAAAATTATACTGGTAATAATGTGATGTAACATCCCCCCCAACTGCAAAAATTGCTGGATCCGACCATGGCTAATACTAAGCAAATCTGAGTGTCAATGTTTTCGAGGTTACTTTTCAAATATGGGGGGCTAAAACATCCTCCCATCCCACACCAGAAAAATAAATAACAATGACAAGAAGTCTCAATTTTTCTCAGTATTTGTGCTTTTACATGTTTTAAGTCATGCGGCCACATGCCTCGAGTCCAAGTCACTGAATTTGTGACTTCAAACAGCCTCAGGTCTGGGACTTGAGTACCACAAAGGCATAAACGCAGGTAATGCCCATTCAAAGCCTATGATCTCCAACTGCGAGCTTTCTCCTTAAAAAAACAACCCATAAGTCAAAGAGGAATAGGGAAAATGTCCATACTCAATCGTCACTTTACCTGCCGCCAAACATATCAATTTTCACCCGACCTTGTGATTTCAACCAAGAGGAATCCAGGAATTAGCTGTGTTAAGGTGAAAAAAATTAGGAAAAATGTGTCTTTAGAGCACATTTTTGGATGCACACGTCGTGCAGAACCAAGTTGAAGCAGCCGGTCAAAACTGATTGAAGTGTCTGGAACAGCGGTACGTTATACGCATGACATCGATAACCATGACGTCGCATGAGCCGGCCAATGATAGTGCCATACGTCATTATGAATATTTATTTTCTCATGAATATTTAGTTTATTTCAATGGATACTTCAAATACGTCCAAAGATTGATCATTGCAACAGCGATCGTGCGCGGTTAAGAGTCTCGTGTATCAAGCAAGCGTCCGAGGTTCGAATCTCGATGAAGTAAGTGACTGATTGATAAATAGAAATTAAGGAAAGGAGAGGGTGAGAGTAGAGGAGGGAAAGTGGAGGGAATAACCATAAAAGATGTAACTTTTGGCGCTAGAAAATTAATTGAAAAAAGTGGCGATCGAGTATGGAATTTTTCCGAGGAATATTTTTTTCAGACAGAGACTTAATGATTTTTCATCACTAAAAAGATGAAATTGACGAACCTTGCCATGTTCCCAGAGGAGTTTGATGACTGGTAGTGACGTGATGACCTGCCTCATAACTATGCATATATAATAATGCACTCAGTGACCCCCTCATCCGAACACCACGCTGGTCCGCCTCCAGCTTTTGTCTTTTCTTATTCTCTTCATCATCCTTGTTTTAAAAAAAAATATAACATTGAATTATGGTTCAATTTTGGCAACAAATTTCATTTTTCAATTGAGGACTCTTTTTTTTAAATGTTAAGTTTCACATAAAAAGCCTATTAGAAGTTACAAATGTACAAGTGCACGAGCAAGAAAATGTTCACACACAAAAATTCACTTGTTGATTCAGGTTTCAACATAAAAACAACCCCCGGTGGGAACTAGTCTTAAATTTTTGTTGCGACTGTTCATAGACTTTGTACAGAAATCACGATTCGCAGATGTATATTCTTGCCAACACAGTTCTTCCTGTATGCACACTCAAGGCTTAATGGGCTTATTTAACTTGCCTACACAATTTTGGGCTGGGAAAACTATTAACGTGTTGACATTGTCAGAAAATAATTCAATCACAGTCCACACAAACATTAATCGATCATACAGACAGAATATTCGATACTTCGTACGGCCTACCAAGATACACACCTCTCGCTTTGACTAGCATGACTGGCAGAACCCATTGTTACTGTTAGGAATGGCAAAATATTCAGAAATGTCAGCTAAGGTAGCTAGAAAATAGGACGTAAACAAATCGGGTAGGTTGTCGTGTCGATTCGTGTCAAAGGGTAATTCGTGTCAAAGTTCGCTCCGCGCGCTCGTCACATGGTGGCGCTGGCTCACTACACCTCTTTAGCTCGGTCATACTAAACAGCGTCAACACAGCGTCAACACACTCCAAAGCGTCAACACAGCGTCAACACAGCGTCAACACATCCAAAATGCATTAAAATTGACAAAAGCAGTATGTAACCCATACAGTATGGACAGAAACAAGATTTTGGCTTAAAATTAATAGGTTAAACGTCTGAAAATTGCGATTTTCAGTTCAAGAAAATTGGCTCTCCGTGCCGCTCCGAAATCGGCTGCCATGTTGCCTCAGTGGCAGTGCGGACCATACCATTATGCTAAAGGGTGAAAGCGTTGTACAATAAACCAACAGAGAGGGCGCGGCCGGCCAATACCAAAAGATGTCCATTTCAATAAAGTAAATGAAACATAAACACAACTCACAAAATAATGATCCACCACTCCGATCCTCAGTCCTCAAATATCTGGTATCCCTCTGTTGTTTATGACAAGATAATGTCATTACCTACACACCCCTACTTGAAATGTTGTAGTCCAAGCTTTGTGCGAAGTCAAGATGGCGGACAACGGCCGTGCGAGTGAAAGGTCATTTTTTTCGCGTGAAAATACGATATTTTTAACAACGAAATGGAAACTCAATCCAATGGAAATTCTCTTTTATTGTATGTTTCACAATTATATGCCCTTTTTGTCAATTCAGAATGTGTTTTGGATGTGTTGACGGTGTGTTGACGCTTCTGTCATGTGTTGACGCTGTGTTGACGCTGTGTTGACGCTGTTTAGTGCGACCCCTTTAGCTTGCTCGCGGCTATAGGCTGTAAAAAAGAGAGTAAAAGTACATGTACTCACGATGGTACGTCGTTTCTCTGCTCGTATCCGGCGGGCTGCTATAAGCTGATATTGTTGTCGTTGTTTCTTTCTCTTGATTTATTTTCAGGGTTGGCAGATAATTTTCATTATCAGGAAATTCACTTGGCCATCCAGTGACAAAGTGAAAGTGATGACTGCAAATCCCGTATCGAGAAGGTTCCCATCCGTTAATCCTCCCCGCAACCTGATCTCTTCCAAACACCGCGCTTGATTTTATTTTTCTTTGGGAATCTGAAGGATACTTCTGTATTTTCTTTGGTTTTTCTATTTGAACAAACCAAGTACGTACGCATAATTACCGGCATTTTCGACGAGTTGTTTTGACTGCGATTACATAACACACGTTATCACGTACATGTGTTGCATGACGGCCGCGCTTGCCAACCAGTGGAAGTAACGCGCATGCGCCTGTCTAATTTGCATATTACATGGGAAAGGCCCATTAACTTTGGCAGTGACCGCAACCCATATTTTTACGACAACGTGCTAGCATAAATAGGGATTGTTTTCTCTCTTCCTATTTTTGACCCTAAAAATCCTCCGGTAAATCCAAGTCTCCGGAAAAAGCTGGCCAATAAAGAATTCTGTTTTCGGCCGGAGGGACCTCTGTTTCAAATCGGCACGTATAATGGTATTTATTTGGACCATTATGCCTTGTATTTTTCCAAATGATGATTCATTGAAATACGAATAACACACAAATACTTAGTTTATCTGCTTGTTGTAGTCCAGTCAGACAGAAGAATTTTGTAATCACTTTCCCCTTGATCAAAGGACTATGGACGCAGAAATATACCAAGAAAAACGAACCTCGTATGATGTGTGGCTCATCTGAATATAATCTTTAACTTTGACACCATTAGAAAATACCCAACTTTTAGTTCTACCAGTATTGTCTAATAAATCAACAACAGATTACAGATATCAATTTTAATACGCAGAAACTACCATAGGCAGCAATATCTGTTGTTGGTTAAAAAAAAGTGCGTTTGGTGACTTAAGAAAAACCAAAGTGAATGTAACAAGCGATAGAGTTTATGCCATTGTGACTAGTGAAACATTGAATCGTCTCGCATTATGGAGTGCAAATATTGTTGATTAATGCTGATGCACTGGAGTAAGAAAGTAGAATTGCACATTTTGCACGTCCGCCTCAACGAACTTTAAAGCTGCAAATATTAGGACAGGCTAGCTAGTGATTAACCTGTTTTTTTTTCTAAGTCAATGCGAATGGTATTATTTCGGCAGCTGTGACAAAAAAAATAATAAGAAAAGTAAAGCGAGAGTATATCGTGCTAGTCAGTTGAATTTTAAAATTGAAAGTTTGTCTTTTTTTTTAAGCAATGATATAAAAACAGGCTGAGTGTAGAGCACACGATTTGGGTCCTGCCTACATCTATACACAACAAAAATACATTTTACAACTGTAAAATGCGCTTATAAATCTTCAAAATGTAAAGTGCGCTTATAAATCTTCAATGTACATATCAACTGCACCGTCCTGGTTCGCCGTTGTACATTGCGATATGAACGGTCATGCAATCAGCACTGCGAGAAAGCCCGTACACTAATAACAAATAATGGACTAGTCCAACCGATCCCCATGCATCATTAACTAGCGGGCGTTCGTGAATGGTTAACCACACAGGCTCATCACTCCATCAGGGGCGGATCCAGGAATTTTTTCCAGGGGGGTGTATCAGCAATCATTGCTGCAATGTAGACAGGGCTTTCTCCGGACACGTGGCCTCTGTAAAATCAAGTGGTAGGAGGGGAAGGGGGTGGTGAAGGGGGCTCGTTCCTTACTTTCAATTGGAGCGCTGTTCAAGCCCGATAATCATTAACACTATATTGCAGAATAGTGTACAAATACCCCGCACCCAAGCGGGCTCATTTCGAAAGTTGTGCACTGGCGGACATTATAACCAGTATAAATGTCATTTTTTTTTGGGTGTCAGAGAGGGGGGGGGGGGGGGGGGGTTCCACATGATTTTTAATGTACTTCTATGAAAAAAATGAGTCACAGCTGGGGGTGGGGTGGGGGTTGAGGTGGGGCTGGGGGAGGGGGGTGGGGGTTCACAACCCAAAAATCTCCTCTCTGGATCCGCGCCTGTCCATTGTGACATCAGTCGCTTGAATAAAGCGCGTCACGGTCATAATTTTATAATGAACATATTAGGGATTGAAGTCCCCCCGAGAAAGGGGCGTGTCCATTGTGCCAGATCTCTGATAGATTCATCCAGGCACGTAGATAATGTTTCCAAAACGGCTAGGCTACGGTTTCTGTCCGAAGTGGCTCAATGACCAAAGCCAAAGCCATAATCATAAGACCGAGACACGCCATCAGTTACAACAACAACAACAACAACAACAACAACAACAACAACAACAACAACAACAACAACAACAACAACAACAACAACAACAACAACAACAACAACAACAACAACAACAACAACAACAACAACAACAACAACAACAACAACAACAACAACAACAACAACAACAACAACAACAACAACAACAACAACAACAACAACAACAACAACAACAACAACAACAACAACAACAACAACAACAACAACAACAACAACAACAACAACAACAACAACAACAACAACAACAACAACAACAACAACAACAACAACAACAACAACAACAACAACAACAACAACAACAACAACAACACAACAACAACAACACAACAACAACAACAACAACAACAACACAACAACAACAACAACAACAACAACAACAACAACAACAACAACAACAACAACAACAACAACAACAACAACAACAACAACAACATATGCCCGCAAGGCCATCAGGTGACAGTGGCGACTTAACGGCGGAAAGATGTCCTTTCCATCAGTAGCACATTATGATTCAATTTCTTGCCTTGCCTAACATGAGTATGGTCCACAGTTATCGACTGCAGTGGCACAATGCCGAAGTCATAATCATCCGACCGAGACACGCCATCAGCTGCACAATTTGATTCAATTTTTCTTTTGCCTTGCCTAACATAATTATAGTCCACTTTAAAAAAACGTTAACATTTGTTCGGCTCTAGTATGAATTTTTTATATGATCTCGAGCTGCTGCTAAAACTGGTCTCACAGCCTGATGAACAGGTGTAAAAACTGTGAAGCGCTTTAAGACCTTGGCATACAGCACTACATGAACTGCATTTTTATTCTATTATGATTATGATATACCTTATTTAAAACTTAATAACCTCCTTATTTTAAGCTTCAATGAAAAAAATGTGAAAGATTACATAAAAAGTGAAAGTTTGAAGTCCAACTCCAACGCGCATCCAAATACAATCCAGATGTGAAACGTGGATGTAAATACGAAGAGAATTATTAACGTTTCTTCATTATTTACTTTCAATTTAGGCCCAACTGTATTTCGTGGATAGGAAGACAGTTGTATTTGAAATATTGATGAACTGGGTTCAAAAACAACAAAAACACTTGCAGCTGTCGTCGTTCCATTTGAATTGCTGATGATGCAACTTTATGTTTGTCATCCGAGAAAGTGTACCAAGCAAACAAAGTAGTTCACAGTTGAAATGTAACTTCGCTGCTGAACTTGCAAATGGTATAATATATAGAATACATCAAGTGGTTTGGAAGGTTTTTGGAGGGTCAAGTTGGGCATTCGGTGGAGGCAGAAACTTGAAATTCGACGGACGCCAACTGACACTGGTAGTAAGGTGATGGTACGATTAGAAGCACAAACCAATGAAATTTGAGCAGCTTGCTTGTGGTTGCCAATGCAAGAATAATTGGCATAATTTAGGTAAAGGGACGCTGGTTAATAAAAGTAGTATCCATAGTGGGATTCCACCCCAATGCTGCCCCTCCTCTAGGAAGTCATACGAGAGTGTCAGCGCCTTAGGCACGGAAACGCAGCCTAGTAAAGTAATCTTCGTTTACTACATGTGGATGGCGCAGTTTGATCGACTCACGAAGGTCACGTATCGACGCATTCTTTTGTGCGCTTAAATGGAGCAAAATGCACAAACCAACAGGGTCACCAATATTCGAGTACTGTATCAAAGGGTTTGCGCGAAGACATTATATACAACTGGGAGCTAAGAACCTATATTCGGGGGGAGGGCTCCTACGGAGCCTACTTTTCTGGAGAGGCATTCAACACGTCATTATCAATGCTAACAAGCCAA